AGACACGCATGGCCCTAGCAAAAAACCCTAAACCTTAAACCACCAGTAACTCAACCCAAGAGCTTCAACCTCTAACTGCTCCTCGCGCACCAGGCTCCGCCGCTCATCGAGGCACCCGCTCCAAGGCGATATCTGGAAGCAGCGCTTCCCAGCGCTTCGGAGGTGTGGTGGACTCCATGCCTCAACCAGAACCATCATATGAGCTATAGTCTAAACTCCTTAAAGGGGGGATATATAGGGGATTTTATTGGGGACTACTATAGGGGTTATTAAGGGGGATACTAGGAGTTTAGACAGTAGCTCATATGTCGTGGCCCAAAGTAGTTTGTATGGGCGTTCGAGGTACAATGTGTTATAATGATATACGGATGGCACTTGGATTGTATGGCTAATGTTCAGGCTTCTACAGGAGGAACATTGCGTGGAATCCCTGCAGATCCATTCGCTGATGCACTTGAAAGCTTTGTTGCAAAATTAGTGCCGCTATATACTTCATCTTCACAGGTTCTTGGGTACTCCCTGGTGGGGTTGACGAGGGTTAAGATGGGGATTCGCAGTAGTAGCTCCCTATCTTGGGGGCTGTTATATATTGGGGTTATAGAGGGATAATAGAAAATGAAATGGAAACTACCATAGTATATTGGGGTAATATTGGGGATATATAATATTTATCGGGAACACGGGAATGTGAAGTGCAAGCTTGATGAGCTGTAGTGTAAGGAAGAGTTCGCTGCCCCATGGCAATCACATGTATACACCATAGGTGTTTGCAACAATGAAGGGTGCTTTTCTGGGAGTCTCTATAACGTTGGTTGAGAAGCCCTATCTTGAGAAGTGACGCCGAGCATTAAACTTTGACGCTTCCGCTCAGAGGATTGCATCCTCCATTATTCAAACTTGGAGCCCCTCGGAAGACCATTTCTAAATATCCAAGAAGATCTCACAAGCAAGCTTCTTGACAGTTCTTGTAATGAGGATAGGTTTGGACCTTTTTTGGGGGGCATCGGGGCTGGCGGCTACTGGTTGCGCAGGGATCGCGCAGACGAGGTCGAAGACCCTTGGCACTTCAAGTATTCAGGCTTTTGCTCAGGTTTGCAAGAGTTTGTGGGATCTTATGCATGGGGATCCCTCTTGCTCATCAAGTGGATATGGACTGAGGATGAGGCTGGATGGTAAGCAGTTCGCCCCTGCGCCAGTACACTTATGCACCTGCACCTTCTACACCCCTTTACACTCCTATACCCCTACACCTGTACAGCGCCCTACACCCCCCTACACCTACTCCCGTACACCCCTGCACCCACACCCCTACACCCTTACACCCTCACCCCTACTACACACCTCTACACCCCTACACTCCGGCCCATGAGCCTTACTTAGCCATTTATCCTTACATTCCTACAGGGAAGCCGTCATCTCGATAAATCCCTAGTATCCTTACGTGCCTTTATCGATCATATATGTATAGATGAAAGTGCGGCCTTTATTGTTTTCTTGCTTCCGTGTTTTGTTACATTCTTAGAAGACGCAGTTTCAACAAGGTAGCCGTCTGAATCTACCAAAGCCGACTTGGGTTACATATGCGAATCAGTTTGGACGGGCTTTTGATCACGTAAACGCATTTTATTTTGGACTTCATTGCTTCTGGATGTTTTCCTGGCTTCAGGGTTTGAGGTTACTCGCTGCAAAGGATTTGTCAGTGTGGGGCTGCGGGGCATAGGGTTCGGTTGTGCGTGGGTGTCCTGCTGAGGCCTATGTCAATCTGAAATCTGGAGGTGTTGTTAAAGTCTTGTAAGCTGCCTGCGAGGAGAGTAAGACTCCTTGGCGACCATCCCAAAACACCAATTTCGACATGGCATCTTACAACTAAACCAACAATTTTTGGCTTGTAGCCTGGTGCTTGAGAGATGACGTATCTGTCCACAGTAAGGGGCCTCGCGAGTGTAGATAGGGCCCCGGAGTTCAGACTTATGATGCGGGCGCATACTCTTGACTTGCAGAAGCATCCTGATTCAGAACTTAAAAGTATGAACCCAGTTAGGTATGTCATCTACTCTAATTCCGCCCGAGTACTGGGCGCCGCATTGGACAGAATATCAGCGGCCTGACTGATCCATGAGCTGAGGCCTTGATGCCTCGATCCCGAAAACCAACAGTCAACTTCCTTCTGCCCTGGACCAGCCCGAGGATATGTGCAGTTTGCAAGATATACTGCGGGTCATACATGGGTTTCTCAGAATGATGGGCGCTGATCTGAGCTGATCCAGGTTATTTCCCGGATTATATTTTTCTGAATGTTCAGAGTTTGGGGAGTTTGTTTGGGCCAAGTTATGGGGAATATTCGTATTTAAATAAGTTGGGAGCGATATTAGGTTTCTCATCTTGCGCTTGTCCGTTCTTGCAGGCTTGACAAGGGGGTGGGGCAACAAAGATCCAGATTTGATAAATTCGTTTTTTTTGTTTTTTTCTGCGCCTAGGTTAGACTAGATCTATTTGAGGCTTCTAATTTGTGCGTTTGTATTGAAAATTCTTGAGAAGGCAATGACAGCGCGGAAATGGGTTTAGTTTGGCAATTGCCAAACTAGGTTACCCACATTTTTACTTGAAATGAAATCCCTAACATAGGCCTTCAGGCGACCTTCAGAGACTCATTACACATGGGTGCTATGACATTGGCATGTCTTATTTCAGCAATGGCTATGGTCAAGGCAATTACAGGCGGATTGCGCTGTGCAAAAGACGTAAATGCCGGCCGTTACAATCCGAAAAAGCTTATGAAACCATAAAACTTCTACTTGTGCACCCCTATATGTGCCAAAGAGGTCAGTGTAAAGCCATCCGCATGCATAATTTCAAGTATCGCTTGGATTGCAAGATTGCGGCTCACGGGAATGCGCGCGTGCCGGGCCATCAGCCTAAGTTGCTTCTTTATCTCGCCACATTCTTGATGTGAGGCCTACCAAAATCTCTTCACCTTTTGCCACTTTCAGCAGAACATTTACTTTCAATACTCTCGTCCAACAGATTCTGATACCTACCGGGAAAGGCGGGCCTGTCCGGTGAGTGGCCGACATTCCTGTGGGTTACGCAAACCAGGCTTTTAAGAGTCTACATTCCGTAGCGTGCCCAAGACGAAGCCCACAACGTTGAGAAAACCAGACGTGACTTGTGCATCCTGCGCATTTTGCTGTGCGAGGACCCCACGGCCAGTATCGACCAGCGATGTGCCGCGTGGGGTGCTGAGTGAGGGTGCTGGGCTTAAGTCTCAACGCAACAGATGGTTCAAGTTGTCAGAAGATGAGGACTATATTGGGATGATGTACTTTGATCATGGAGCTTATTCGTTTTTTTTTTTTTACAGTGTTGTTTGAAGCTCTGTGTCAATAGTTCAGATTGATTATTAGGATCTTTTTGAGCCGCGGCCTTTAGCCATGATAAATTGGCATGGCTGGATTCAGCTTCTCGTCTACAATTTTGAAATTGTTGACCGGAAACACTTCCTGAAGATATTGTTCAAAGTTTTTTCTGGCAACAAGTTGCAGGAGTAAGTGCGCTCCCTAAAGGCACCTCCAACGGTGAAGAAATCATACGACCAGGGCAGCCATGCCTAGACCAGTCTGCCCGCTTGGGGTTTATGCTTTTACCGTTCCGGGTTTTCTAGGTTTTGGTGTTTTGGGTGGTTTCTAAAGTTTGGGTGTAGGGAGTCCATGTTTTTAGGGTTACAGTATATTGTAGGGGTTCGCGAAGCAGCTTTCAGGCAGCAAACGCTGCAACTGCAAATCAAAGCGTCGCAAATATATCTGACTGCTGGATGCTTTGGCTACATCAAACTTAATCCCTACCCCTACATACCCTGCATACTATTATGTAGCCCTAATACCCCTTATGCCCTGTATGCCCCTTTTTATATACCCAGTATGCTGCTGTGAAGCCCTAATGCCCCTATAGACCCTCTGTGCTCTTATGTGCCTTATATACCGCCATGTAGCTCTAATACCCCTTTGTATGCCGATATACCCTCTGGACCCCTGTGCTGCTTGTTTATGTGGCAGCCAGGCTGTTTGGTGCCCCGCCTCCTCTCGAGAAGGACGCTGCTGCTGTCCAGGGGTAACAATTGAGGTCATAAGCCATCAAAGGCGATGGTATTAGAATGTAGGATTGAGGGCTTATGGTTCTGGATGATTTGGAAATGAGGTGCAAGTATTAGCGTATAGGAACATTTTCAAGTATGTCTGTAGAAACACCCCGGTTGGCTCCTGCCAACCAATTGAGTAGGACGACCCTATGTCTCAGACATTATGCAAGGAACTGGGTTGGAGACAAGGCTTCAGAATTTGGATTTCGGATTGTTGTTTTGCGCTGGATTACGGAGTGGAAGCAATCTTAATCAAAGTCAGAACCGCGGGTTCGGGGAGACTTGTGGGCAGTTCTCAAAACTGTGGGCCGCAACCAGCCATTTCCGAGCATCACAGGATGGGTTTCGAGAAGCATGGAAGCTGTTCAGCACACAGGCGCAAAAACAAGATTGTCTTTTCAGCGAACCCGAATCACAAGACTTTGTGTGGCGAGTCGTGCCGGAGTTTGCAGAACCAAAGAAGTTGACTTCACGTATTTGGTTCTATCCGTTTGCAGTGCTCCTAACCACCAGACAGCTGCGTAAAACGCTATACACCTTAGAACGCCTCCTAAAAGCCAATGCTGATGCAGGAGCAGCCTGCTGCCTCAAGACGTGGCCGCAGCACGGATGACTTATTTCGTGATGCGAGGTGGGATGTACCGTATGGGCAAACCTCCAGCCTCTGATAATCGTAATGGGAATAGTATAATAGTAATAATCGTAATCATAGTAATGGAAAAGAAAATGGGTTGGGGACAACACCCTGCTGGTCCTTGGACAGGCAGCCGCCATGGGATATGGCTCTCCAACCCCCGGCGCCACTTCCCCAGGCCAGTCTCAGAGATTACACAGGGTTTAGGGTTTAGGGAGGTTGAGGGTCTAGGTTTGGGAGTTTAGGGATTGAGGGTTGAAGGGAAGGGAAAGAGAGGCAGAATGGAATCACAAAATGGAGGAGGAGAAAGCAGGCTTGCAGTAAGTGGTGCTCAGGAGTCGCATGCTTTGAATTGCTGCAAGAAATTTAGCTGAGCAAGTAGTAGTGGAAAGAATAGTATGATTGCTCGGCAAAATCATGAAGGTGACACCGTCAAATGTGGCGTCTCAAACGAGGATTTCCCTTGTGGGGCTCCAAAAGGAGGGTTTAGGTGCAAGACCTACATGTTGAGCAATACCCCAAGCCTTGAACCCTAAACGACCGAGGATCCCAACAGTTACGAAGCTTGCCTTGAGAACTTGATTCTTGGTCATGTATGCTGACCGGCACGCTCTGCTTGACAATTATCATGATTTCCTCTGATACCAAACTGTTGCATAGGCAGTCTTGCCTGTGGCGGCTTGACCTGGACACTGCGCGCCTTTGCATGGCTGTAATTCAAAGTACTTGTTGTGGATCGTACCGCGAAATCCTACTCTGCTCATCTCGGCTCTTACCGCAGTGTCAGCACAGCAACCAGCGTTCTCTTCATGAAGGCTCCGTTTCGACACCTATATGGCCGTGTGCGTAGTTGCCAACAATTATGCACCTTTCGATAGTCATGTTCTTGACGTGTCCACTTCGGGGCACCTCCAAAAGGAGCCCAACTTTGATCACCGCCCAATCGCATACCAGGTACCGTGCTATGCTTCAGATTGCCTAATCTAATCCTGGAACCCTGAACTCTAAACGTTAGACCCCGATGAGAGATTGTCCCGAAGGACCTCTGGCAGTTGCAGCCGATGCAGGATATCCCGCTTTTCCAGCAGGCACATTTTGGGGTTCCGAAAGTGTGGGCCGCTCTCAAGGGGTAGGATATGGTTCCAGTTAGGGATGTATGAGGTTCCCGTTGTAGGATTCGGATTTCCAGGGTGTTGGATTACAGCCTTAGATTGAGGGCAGAGTCAAGAAGTGGATGGCAGGAACCTCCTTTTTTTGATTGTAGGATGCTATTAATTACTCGCAGATTCCAAACTGCAGCTTGGCAACCAGCTGCTGTGGCTGAGAGAACATTGCGTAGCCTTGCAAGGACGGGACTATTGACTGTATAGTATTCTGAAGCTGCATACGTAGTTGAAACACTGGTTCCGCGTTACACCCTAAGCTTGATTCCTCAATTTCCGACTTCAAGACTTCTAGCCAAAGAGGTTAATACTGAGCGCCTGGTCCCTACAAAATGATAACATCAGCCTTAAGCTGCAAGCCCATAAGGAAAGTCAACTCAAGACCACAAAGGAGATGGTAAGAAGCTCTAGATCACCCCTATGGCAACATTACTTTGCTCTTTAAAGGGGCCTTGCCAAACCCCAACCCCTGAACCCCGAACCCTTAAACCCTGACCCCAAACTTTCCGAAACTTGAAGCTCCAAGCCCTGAAGCCTAATCCCCAAGCCCTGCTACTCAACTTGCTAGAATTCTTGTAAACTATTTGTATAATAGATTATAGTATGCTATATGATAGTTGCAATCTTTTATAGTATATTATAATATACCAGTAGACTATAATATACTATGATCTACTATAATATATTATAGCATATTTCTAAAGTTTTTTGTATTTCCCCGCCATTCCTAGCTCCTATCCCTCATTTTTGCCAGGTGCAGGAGCTGCAGCTTCAGCCCCTGGAGGTGCCTCCCGTGGTGCCGCCGGAGGTTCAGGCGAATCTTCCGAAGCTACGGGCAGAGATCCTGAAAAGTCGGATTAGGGTTTAGGGTTTAGGTTTTAGACTACTAATAGCAATAATAGTTATAGTAGCAATAGCAATATTGATAGGTCATAATCATAATGATAGTAATCATATACGGATAACAGTAGTGCTAGCAACACGCAAGAGTTTGTTGTAGGAACTGCTTCTTGTTCTCTGTCTCTTCCTCGTGGGTCTGCAGCTAGAACTTTTTATTATGGGATGTTAGTTGCTTAAAAGCCTAAACCCCTTTTTTTTACTCTTGGTGCCGAAGCCCCTAAACCCTAAAACCCTTTATCTACTGTTGGTGCTGATGAGATAAACCTTTCAAAGCAGGCCAAGAGCGACGGTTCCTACCAGCGTTTCATGGCGGATGGCGACAACCTACTGGCTTGGGACATGCCGGGGCAGGCTGAATTGGGGGGAATTTGGGGGTTAACAGGGCAGGCTTGCGGTGGACTGGAGTTTTGAAGGCTCAACCCAAAAACTACATGCGGGGTGAAGCTTATACCTCACTTGCGATGTGATCTATACCTGGAGTCTTGACCATTGTTCGTGTGGGCCGGCGTCCCAAGAAAGGTCCCGTGTCTGAAGCGTCGCAATGGCTTTCTAGGAGCGCTCCGTTATGCTGGGCGTCTTTGAGGAGGTTGGAAAGTGGAGCTTAATGTGGGAATACTCGAGTTTTGCAGCTTGACTCAGGAGGGAGAATCTCTCAGCAGCCCCCACGAAGCGCGTTTTTGATGGCATGCGCACATCTGCAAAAGTCACCCTGCTTGTCAAGAGGACTCCCTGAAGACCCCAAGCACACCAGAATGTCGTGCTGCACTCCTCCGTGGGACGCTGCCATATAAGTACAGGCAGGTGACCTACCCAAAAACTCTGGTCTATCCGTTCAAGCCTATGCATCTTAAACTGCTGCAAGATAGCACGAGGCGCGTGTAAGTCTACTACTAAAGTTGCAGATCCTTTGCTGCACATAGCTCCTGTACAGCATCATGCACTTCTCTTGTCATGCAGCAAAGTAGAGTCTGATACATCCTGTATACCGCATCCGCGACCGATGGCAACGTACCAAAACCTGCACCCCAAAACCTCGAACCCAAATGCAAACACCAAAGATGTCACCCCATCACTTGACAGGCATACCTCAAGTACTGCGAGGCCAACAGCAAGCACGATGATCTCTGTGGCCAAAAGTCAGGCTGGGTTGGCTCATAGGATTAGGGTTCCTCGTTTGGGGTTGGAGTTTTGTTTGATGACACTTAGCATATCATCACCCAGTCATCCGGAAATAAAGAACCTTCCTCACTCAATCATGCCTAATCAAGTACTTCAGTAGTTTCTGCAGTATTCCCAGACGTTGCACGATGTCCGGAAATTTGATTCTGCAAAGGGGGGAAACACCGGTACTTCTGCTACTCCCAGAGTACCAAAAAGAATGTCTTTCTTCAGAGCCATTCTTCCACAATACTATCACGAGCCGGAACCACTACATCATGAAGCATTTGGCCTTGGAATAAACAGAGTATCTGTGCGAACCTGCCTTCACACTGCTTACCTTGATGGCCAGTTGACGGCACAGAGTATGGATGGAGTTCTTCGAGATCCAATCAGTTTTGCCATCCAGTACTCTTTGCATTCCATTCATCCGGACAAATGCACAGAACGCCCGTAAGCAGCGCGTGGCAATTTGTTTTAAACAGCCCAGCACTCTGTACCCGATTTTGTTAGACACCACCTCTCCATGATGTCCTCTTTGAGGTGACGCCTACCGCGGCATGGCTCGCAGCCTCTCCGTGGGTGCAGGTGGGGAGCAAAAGTCTTCATGAAGGAAATCATTGGTACATGTCTAGGAGTTTAAATGAGGTTCCCATGGTCTCGGTATGTAGTAAATCAAAGGACCTCCTTGCTATAGTAGCTGAGTTCAAGTTCAGTGACAGCCCCTCAGGGTCATGGAGAGCTGGGTGGCAGGTTCGTGGATGTCGGAACAAAGTGTGAAGGGATGTCTTCCATCAAGGGTAGCTCTGCCAGTTTCACTGAGCTCCGCAAAGAGGTGCTGAATCGCGGCTTTCAGGGATACGGCTCAGGGGTTTGGGTTTTCGGGGGCCTTGGGCTAAGGTTGAGAGATCCCCGCAAGACTACTGTGATGACGTGTCGCAACCCCATCTGTGAAGTTGGCAAGAATAGAAGTCGTCAGGTAGTGCTTGTCTTTGTGGAGGCTCGTAGGTTGTTGCATGTATTGCAAAACTCGACGAGTCCCCAGGCCTTGTAACATAAATCCTCAATTTTACATGTTACTTGGACCCATAGATGTGGAGCAGCGAAGCGTTTTTTTTGCGTTTGGGAGGCTTCCAGGGACTTGTCACCGGTCTGCCCAATACCAAGGAGGACACGGGCTTGGTTTTCACCAGGTTTTGTGTTTGGGATGTTTTTGGGGGTGTCAGGGTTAAGGCGGCTAGGCTTCGGAATGTTGAGCTGCAAAGTTTTCTGTTTGATGTTTCTTGTCACTTTCGGCATTGCTCATGTTTGTTTGTTTTGAGAGTGCCCTGTAGGGTTTCCCGACGGTTGCTAGAAAAATGCATGTTGTGAAGCCGTTAGCAGTCAGATTCAACGGGCCAGATTCAGAAGCTGTGGTCGCTGTTTTGTAGGCTTGCATATGGTAGTTTCCCTAAATAGGGGGACTCCGATACAGAATCCAAAAAGTTACGATACTTACTATGGGGTCCTCAAAAAGTACTCCTAATTTTGGGAAACCCCATATGTACTATCCCACGATTTGGTAGATTTGGGTGAAGCTGCCTCTTTGTCTGTGGTACGTAGTCCCCAAAAAAGTTCTTGAGGCCCATACGGGAGTTTCTCGAAAGTATCCTGGTAGAATCCTTAGTAGGGACCCCGCTAGACCCTGTGTAACCCACATATCCCTCGAGTCTCCAAGGGGCCCCGATTTCAGAAACTCCCATAGGGCAGTCAGAAGAGTCCCCGCCTTCACTCAAAGACAAACACAAGCTCCATGCTCCCAGCAAAATCTGAAGACCTTCCTTGCGGGTTCTTAGTATGGAATACGGGAATTTCATCCCTTAGATGATCCCTGGAGAATAAATAGATTCCCACAGTTCCTACTAACCCCTAGTAAGCTTCACAGGCATTCTTAACTGCCATGAGCTGCTTATTAAAAGAAGCATCATGCCTCGCGTTCTGGGGGCAGAGGGTGACTGGGACCGAGTGCAGTGCAGAGCAAGGCAATCCTCATGTGTGTGCTTCGAGGTTTATTCAACTTGTTTAGACCTCTGACGCCTGAAGCTTAAACTGTAGGCCTTAAACCCGAAACTCTAGGCTCGTGCCAGTACGAGTTGTAAGCACCATGAGCTGCCTATTGCTCATTGCACTTGGTCGCACGCATAGAGCCCGTCAGGAGCGGCTAGATCTTGGTATGAACATGTTGGAGCCTGGCGCCGAGCTTCTCTAGGGGTAGATAGTTCAGGGGATGAAGAGGCCAAGGGATTTATGCGCTCAATTGCTTGGGGTTGCGATGCTGAGGTCTGTAACATTCGTAGCAAGTACTCTGATCTCTCCGGGCCTGCATGCCAAGTAAGTTTCGTTGAGAAAGCAATGTTCAATGACTTGGTTTCTTCGGCCCTCACTCATTGAGATGGATGCAAATGCCGTCCCCGCCACCCTGATGATGAGCTCATTTCTCGAACTGAATTGCTACAACAGCAACCCAGAAAACGGGAGGTTCCCCTGTTCAGGTTTAGGTCGGCTGTGGTGCTGAGGCTGGCCGTGGAGGTGGGCTCCACGAAACTGGGTGATGCTCGAAGTGATCCAAAGCTGGGGCAGCTGCGGCAGCCCTTTGGTTGAGCAATTATCTACACCCGAAAACCCTAAACCGTGGCTGCAAGTATTTTGAAAGATCCTCCTTATATTGCCCTTAATGCGGGGCCCATTCCTGCCTAGCATGCCTCAGAGCCCTCCGTTGAAACCCCAGGCCTGCTCGGACTTATTGTGTGACATGTAGGGTTTGGCATAATGACCATGAGGATCTTGTTGGGTTAGAGTGTGGTCAAAGCTTTCGGTTTTAAGGTTTGGCAGGTTTGGCGGGGTTGTCACGTTCCGGCACCCGAAGGGGCTCATGGGTTTGCACTAGGATGCTCAATCTAGGTAGCCCGCTCAGTGATCGTAATTTTGACAGCCAAAGCTATTCTGAAAGGTGACACCATCAGACCGTTTCTCTATGCGGAGAGTAGCAGACGTCGAGCAAATTCTTTTGCTGAATAAATCCTGGAAGCCGAGCCGCTGAGCTAATTCTTACAAGCCTGCCTGAAATTGGATGAGTACCCATGCAGACATCCATAGAATCACACTTTGGGGTGACATAAGTCCAATGTAACAGTGAACATTTTAGGAGCACATGTCACCCCGTCACCTGTACCCAGGAAGCTACAGCACAATGATCCGAGGTTCCGAGCAGCGCGGTTTTCAGCACTGATGGACCCGCTGACGTGGAGTTCGGGGTTTCGGCTTTGGCAAGCCTGGGTAGCGCACGGAGGTGCTTGTGAATCGGACGGTGTAGCTTTACAAGGTATCTCAGGGGGACTAGATTAAGCCCCATGAAAATTCAGGAGTTCAATCAGGGGCCTGAAGTTTCAGAAGTTGAGTTGGGAGGTACATCCTGAACTCGGGGAGGGCATTCTGTGGCGTGGAGACGCAGCTAGAACGAGACGCTAAAACAGGGTTTCAGTGAGAAGTCCAAGAATGCTTTTCCTGTTTCATGAGTTCAAGGCTTCAATGAACCAACCCAAAAGAATAAGTAAATCTGGTAATTTCCCAAAATTAAGGGTACCTTTTTAGGGGTCCCTATAATAAGGACTATAGTATTTTGGGGTCTATATTGGGGTCCTCTTATTTTGGAAACTACCATATGTATTGCAAGAAGGCAACGAAAGGATCTGGCAACTGCACAGGCCCTGCAGCAGCAAGTCCCTATGCTCCATGTTTGCAGGAGCAAGTCCCAGCAACGGGCCTTGATGCTCTGGCAGTGACAGTCTCTTTGGCTTTGTGGGAAGGTGGTCCAGGATGTGATGGTTGCAGAGTTTTCTGGGTTTCAGGCTTTAGTAAGGGATTACAATAGTACACCCCCCAAAGGTACCCCCCCCCAGATTTAGAGCCCTTTTAGGCCTTATTAAGCCCTATATAGTCCTTATTAGCTCCTTAAACCTTGGGGGGGTACCTTTGGGGGGGGTACTATTGTAATCCCTGATTTAGGGTTTAGACCTTTGCTTTGCATGCTTAGAGTTTCGACGTTACCCTGAATGCCTTGGAGCTGAAAAGATCTAAGCATAGAGATGCTTTTTATGATCAGGATGTCGAAGGCCCTTCGTTGGGGCCTTCCATGCTCCAACAGTGGAATCCTAGTGCTTGCATTTTTTGACTACAGAACTGTCTGTTCAGTCGTTTTTTGATTGCCCGTGCTTGCTAACGTTGGATTTGAAGCATGCCTTGGTAGAGGATGCTAGATGTTGAGTCCTTCGAAGTGATGCAGGGGATGCTAAAGGTCATGAGCGCTATGTGTTGTTGATGAAAGATCCCTTCTTGAATTACTAGTTCTTTACAAGAAGGGCAACGTGGAACGCGGACAGCCTCCAAACCAGCCCCGAAGCCGTCTACGCAATCCAAAGGCCGAAACCCCCTGTAGATGGTGTCATCCAGTGTTTTCTGGAGGGATGCTGGAGGGTCTTCGTGGGTCCTAACGGGGCGTATAAAGGCATGTTGCTTTTTTTCTGAGGTGAATTTTCACGGCTGGCTGATCCTGAAGCTTTTTTTCCCCCGAGAGCTTCGCTGAAACCCAAGGCAAATGCAGGAGTCGCAGCTATGGCAGCCGTTGCAGGCCACTGCCATTGATGCAGGAAACTGGGTGACCGATCCATGACGGAGTGGAACACCAGCTAATATGCAAGGGTTGTACATACTTTCATGAGAGGCTTCGGGGTTACATGTGGGTTGTTCATTGCTGTCAATTTTGTTGGCCCTATGTTACCATCTTGAGTTCTGGTTCAGTTACAAAGAAAACGGTTATCTCTAGCCATAAGCTGAGCGTGTTCTGTACTAGTGGACCGAGAAGCCATACTGAGGAAGCAGAATTCTTCTAACCACCCTGCAATACTTGTGGCACTGACACCCCATCTGCAGGCACTTGTAGAATCCCAAAGTATCTCTCATGGCCACCAGGCATTCAGCCAGTCTCGCTAGTTCCGACGATGCCGGTGCCCTTTGCGAAGCCCGGCTCAAAATCTGCTTGCCTGGGTGAATATCCAAGGCTTTGAAGGTTGTGCTTCTGAGGTTACACTGCTGGGGATGCATGTGAACAAGAACCCCATGTGAGAAGGTGGGATCTATGTAAGGAGTACTCAGAAAACGATTTGCAAGGTATGACCTTGCCTGCGCAACCAGGGAACGCTTTAGATAAGTGTGTGCGCGCGGTTCCTTCTTGTAGTATAAGGATGCCAAGAAGAGACCCATCAACTTGAGAAACACCCATATGGCTTTTATGATAATTGACTTGCCGGGATGTACGTCAGCGTTTTGGGTGCATGATCCTTAGATTCGACCCTTGCCCCTACGGCGTGCAACCTTTGGGGTGGCTGTTTGTATCACGATCAGGAGCTTTCTTATGTCTGGGCTCCTTCCGTGAAAGCATTGGAATAGCTCGCTAGCCGCTAGCTGTTAAAGCCTCTGCCAGATATAGGTGGGGCCTGGGAGCAAGGAAGACCTACTGATGGGTCAGATCGTCGTGCTTCTTTGTAATACCTAAACCCTAAACCCAATTTATTTGGGGTGCACCGCTCCGCGTTCTCTGCCCTGAAAGCTGCCAGGTCCTGCAACTTACAGGGGTCCCAAGGTCTTGTTACAAGGTGTTGGCCCCAAACCCAAAGCCTTGGCTCACATGAGCCCTGTAATACCCTAAACTAAGCAATTTGGGAAGCACATTTTCCTCCTAGACATTTGCGGTCCCCTAAAGAATTGGCAAGATATGTTCTCCAATTACTTGGTACCCTGAACTCTTCTTGATATTAGGCCTTCTCTGCCCGAGCCAGCACCAACAACGGTGTTACAAGATCCGTCCCAGGCAGGGCTTTCAGAAGGTTTTGGGGTCTGTCTTCTTCTGGTTCAGGGTCAGGGAGAATTTGTATGCGTAATTCCAACCGCTAGAACACATCTACGAACATCTGAAACGGCTTAAAACCCCCCAGCCTCCGAGTAGTTTTAGCCGTGAAAGTTTGTCGGGTTGATGTTTTCGGCATTGGACGTCTTTAGGGTGGTTTTGAGGTTTCAGGATTTGAAGACCCTGGGTTCTAGTTTCCCAGCTTCCTAAGCATTTGTGCTTCTGTCACTTTCAAATCTTCCGAAACAGCAATTTAGTTCAGGGTTTAAGGTTTCCGGTCTGTATTCGGTCAAGATCAGATCAAGATATTTGCCAGAGCGTCTAGAACTTTCGACGATCAGGGCTTTCCTTATAGAGGTTGTGAGGCTTTCTGGACTCTTTTATGGTAAGAACCAAGTGGAAGATTGCTGCGCCGTAATAAGAAATGCTGGCATGCCTCAGGCAGGCATGTTTTTTCTTTCACATCCGCGCAATTGAGATTGCCGTTCCTGTGCGTGGAAGCACATTCGTGTGACTTGATGATATCTTTATAGCAACAAGGCTACTGTTCCATTCACACCCCATATGGAGGGCGCATACGAATGCTAAACCCTGCGCATGAAAGGTCAGCATCCTCAACGTGAACTCCTTTATGCCCGCAGTCTCAGAAGTCCCAAAATCCATAAATCCTAAAGCGAGCACCAACGACCCCCAAACCATATCTTTGAAGCCCAAGCCTAAAGGTAGACCTTGCATCCCCAAGCTGAGGTGGGACCTCCTCCAAACAGATATAGTCCCCCTTAAGTAGATAGAATATGGGGTTTATGGGGATCTTATTATGATATGCCCAAAGGCATATTCTATCTACTTAAGCGGGACTGTATATGTAAGCCTTTACTGCAGGACCGCTTTTGAATCCTCTTCTAAGCTGTTTTGCTTAGCCGCACTGCGCTGGCGACCTGCAGCGCCCACCCACAAGACTAAACTGTGAAGCAATTGTTTAGAGTTTAGGGTTTAGGGGGTTAGGGACTGACCAAAACCTTCTGGCTAAATATCCATCCCGTTTTCGATTCTCTGTCCCATTGGGTTGAGCAATATTTGGGGTAGTACCCTTGATAATCCCCTATATGATCCTGAAAGATCCCTATGAAGCCCTAAACTGGGTTGCTGTTAAGAAACTCAAATTGAGTTACCATAATGGGTACATATTTATATATACATACTAAGTACTAGGGTTTCCCCAATAGAGTAACTTAAATTAAGTTCCCTAACAGCAACCCAGTAAGCCTGATGAGGTTGCGACCTTGGTTAAGGTGCCGGAGCCTCCACGGGAGGTCGCCTTGGTCCGCGAGGTCCCAGCGCGGCAGGCGCAGGACCCGTGGAGAGTGGGCTGGGGTTTAGGGCTTAGGGTTTAGGGTTTAGGGGTTTTTAATTTAGGGTTTAGGGTTTAGGGTTTAGGTAAGGTGTCCTTGGGGTAGACGGATTATGGAAGGGTCACATGGTGTCAATAGGGAGGATGGAAGGTTTGGAGAGGGTTCTGAAGGTTTGGGGTGTAAGTGCTCAGGTATTATGAAGGTTAAGGTTTCTGGGTTTAGGGTTTAGGGCTTAGGGCGTTCAGGTGAAATGGAATTTTCCATCATCTTGTCCAAATGTTGCTGTGACAGTTATGGCTAATATTCAAGTATCCCTACCCCAATTCATATTAGCATGGGCTAGCAATTACTACAGCGAAAAAAGGGTATTTGTCCAAAATAATCCTATACAATCCCGAATCAGGACCACCAAATCGCCTCATAATCCCATGCGATCCCTTGGGGTCCTCAGGGCCCCCATGTTGAGAAACTCCCACGTTGCTACCACCCAAAGTCTAGAGCCAAAGGCTAGAACAAAATGAGATTTGCTTTTAGTGCCCAGAGTTAAATACGGTTTAGGGGAATATTACCTTAAATGGAATATCAAATGGAAACATGGACCATGAAATGGACACTGGGTAGATTCCAAACGCGAAGGTGCGCCCGTGAGTCTCCGATTAAGAAACCAATTGTCAAACCTCGGTTGCCAGTTCAGTCACAGTCTCCAAAGACGCACCGTAGCCACGTTGAGAGCTTCTCAACATCTGTTGACAGTCCTTCTGGGCAGCCAGCAAGCCAGCAACCTATAAACTTGTGTGATCTCCGAGGATCTAGCATGGGCTCCCTCATTGTTTGAAATCTCCTTGTAACCAAAATGAGAGGCAAGGAACCACGAAAGGAATTGATTCGCCAAAGGAGCCTAACAGCTCACAGCCAGGGAAATCTCGGCTGCGAGGTTCCCTGAACTGGCGCGAAAGAGATAGCTGTAGTTTAAGAAGGGACATAGCATGAGTTGCGTGAACCTCTGAGCAAGCTTTGTTTCAAAAGCCAAGCAAGCTTGGTTTCAAAAGCCTAGCTTCCTGCAAGCAGAAGTCTGCAGTAGGCACTGGGGTAGAAGTGCAGACAACGCAAAAGGCCTCCTGCTTGAACTTGTACCTCTACAGTGCATAGTTTTGCCTACCTGTCCAGATTTGAAAGGCCCTTCGCTTGTTTTTGCGGTTAGCTTGCTTGGTTGTAGTTTGGGCATTGCTCTGTCTCTCATGCAAAAAAAAAACTTGTGCCTCTGAAATGGCTTCCTGTAAACGGAGCTCATTTGGTGTTGTCAATGTTCAGGAGGAGTCGGACGATGAGGAGGAGGAGGCTGACGAGGATGAAGATGAGGGTGATGATGACGAAGATGAGGATAGCGAAGGGGAAGGCACGGGGTTGTTGCAAGCTGCAAGTTCTTAATTCACAGCTGTTAGTAACTATTAGATTGGTTGTTCAGCTTTGGCGGTGTATCATCTTCAGGCAACTTGCTGGCCGCTAGCATGGGGTCTTCATGAGCTGCTTCGGGTGTTCAGGGATTCATGAGCGATGGGTTCGCAGCAGGTGCCACAGTCATTTTAGGCTGTTTTGCAAGTTGCTGGATTTCTCTAAAGCATGTGCGTTCTGGGGTTGTAAGGCGGTATCAGGTGTCAGGGGCTTGGGGAGGCATTCTGCAGTAAGAATTCCTGGTTATACGGATGTAAAAGGGCAGCCTACCATGTTGAGAAGTAGCCATGTCCCTGATCCTTATTTTTCTGGGTGGGGCCATTAAAGGGAGCATGGATCCTACTACCTTAAATATGGTCGGACTGATATTTTTGAGTGTATGTGGGGTTCCTTGCGGATCTAGGTGATTGCAACTTTCAATTAAGCTAAAGGTCACTGGACATGCGAAGCCTTCCATCTTTCCAATGGCAGGGTTTCCGTAATCAGGGGTGTAGGAGGTAAGCTCCCATTGCCATTCCCTGAGGCTCCTGACGGTCTGCATAGGCTCCCTAAACAGCTGCCCCGGACCAAACCCTTTTGGAGGAAGATTTAAGGTTTCAGGCTTCATAGGTTTAGGGTTGTCAGCGTTGCTCAGCATTGTTTAATCCGCCCCAGATCTTAATTCACTAGATCTCAAACTGGACCCTCAACCGCAACCCCCTCAAAAAAACCGCAAATCTGAACTATGAGTCTTTGTTCCCATGCCAGGTGAGAAGCCTGAGGAAGAAGCGGATAGCGAGGATGAGGCTTGTTACGAAAAAAAGGGAGTTGGGGGGATTTGGTGTTGGTATCTGAAAGTAGCAGTAGCAGTAGCAGTAGTAGTAGTAGTAGGAGTAGGAGGAGTAGTAGTAGTAGTAGTAGTGGTGGTTTCATTGCCGGCGGCTTCTGTCAGGATCTCTTTAGTTTTAGGGAGTACAGGCAGGGTGGTGTTGTGAGAAACCACCTCTGATGCTTCTGGTTACTCGTGTTAGTGCGACCAGTATTTCCTGCATAATGGCGCTACTTATCATTTTTTCCTCATAAAGCCTGCACAACCAATTTCTTCTACACCTGATTTCCGAGCATTACAAGGGCCCTTAATTCCCTTGCAAATCATTTCAGAAAGTTGCTTTTCTTAGCTGGGTTTAGGTGAGAATCTTTTTTTGGTGACAGTGGCATGGAGATTAAGACCTCAGCTGCATATGGCTCATGCTTTCAGGCAATGTAGTTGGTGGTATTGTCTGGTTTTCCCATGGGCTCTCCCTTTCTTCGATTTCATTTACTCAGCGATCAGATAAACCGCGGGTCCAAGACACTTCCCAAAAAGACTGGGTTGCTGTTAAGGAATTTACTTTAGGCTGTTATTTTGAGCAAACCATTTTAACTACTATGTGCACCCATCATGGCAACTGAACTTAAGCTCCTGAAATCTCTATATTACCTCAGTTTTCATTACAGCTTAATTTAAGTTCCTTGACAGCAACCCAAACCCTAAACCCGAAGTAGTAGTTTCCATTTTGTTTTCCATTATCCTTATAAAACCCCTACAGCAACCCAGAAAAGAGGAGTGATGATCTAGGTAAGGCTAGCACATCTTGAGCTCACTCTCAGTGGCTGCCTGTTCTCAGACCTTTGCCGTTGGCCTGTTTTGGGTAGTGCAAACTTCCTCTCGTCAACAGTTGGTTTGGGTAGGATTCCTTACTCAGAATGGGTTCGTCAAGCGTTTCGAGGTCTCTGAATGGCAGTGAGTATTCAACGACACTCATGTTGGTTGCTGCGAACTCGTGCTACGTCCAATACATTGGCCAACATCAAAAGCTACAATCCTGAAGTCCAGTTCGCCAACAGTCTCCAGAGCTTAAACTATTCAGCACCTAAAGAACGCGTGAAGGTTGTCTGCAATATTTGAATCAGAAAGTACCTAGGCAAGCTGTTTTGGGTTGCATTTAGGTTCACTGCCTCCATTGAATCCAGGCTTCTGATTCTGAAGCGTCCCAGGCCAACGATGAGGAGGCCAGATTTCTAGAAGGTACCCAGCTCCCTATTGCGGCCTGAGCTATTCTCACAGCCTGCATGAGCAGGAGCACTGTTGCCCGCTCATTCTTGCATACCTATTCTCGGTGTCCCTCACCACACCCCATTGTAAGAGGACCCCAATATAGACCCAAATATACTATAATTCTTATTATTGGGACCCCCCAAAAAGGTACCCCCAATGTTGGGAACCCCCCAACCGATTAATCATTTAGGCGCTTACGTCATGGAGCTTGACATGCACGCTTCTCAAAGGATGGTCGTCTCTGTAGGGTGCCTTTACATTTTCATGATGTTTAGAAATTTCGCCGTGAATTCAAGTTCTTGGGGAGTAGCCTGCAAAGCTCTGCATTTGGGTCTAGGGCTTGGTCAGATCAAGCATGGATTGCCCTAAGTTTGTATTTGCCTTGAGCATGCATGGGTTAAGGAGCGTGGTTCTAGCATCAATATTCTTGACTTTACTTGGCGTCATCTGCGACCTACATGTTTTTCATGCCGGTTGTGAAGATTAGTGTTAGGCAGCCCGTTTTGTTTTAGATGAGCATACCTTGGAGTCCTTCTTCTAACATGTCTCGATACCATGTCCCGACAGGATCCTGGAAGATCTTCATGCCTTAGACGTGTGGACCCTACACCTAGGTGTGGAATGTGAACCCCATGCTCCTCAGACAGTCGTGAAACCGGGCGTAAGGCCTTGCTGATATCGAAGCCCTGCCATAAAACACCTTTCTGGATTTCAGTGCTTCTCATGATCTTCAGGCTCATTGTGGAGCTGGAGAGAGTAATCTGCAAAACACTGCTGCTCCGGACCTCTGAACCTTTAACCCACAGGTGCCTACACCCAATCCCCCAAACCCTAAACCCTTAATCAGAATGCTATTTCCTCAAGCCTGAGCCTTGGATTCCGAAGCCCTAAACCCCAAGGTACGATGGGATGGTAAGTGTACTGTAGTCTAAACTCCTTAAGGGTTATATGGGGGATTATATAGGGGACTACGATAGGGCTACTAAGTGGGATACCAGGAGTTAGAACTATAGCTCAAGTAGACATGCCAGGCTGTGAGCCCTCCACTCGTAACCCCCTCCCAGATGCTTAAGCTGGAAATCCTTAGTTTAAGTTACTCTATTACTATATTGGGGAAACTATATTGGGAAAACTATATTGCTTACTATATTGTATGTGCCCATTACGGTAACTCAATTTAAGTTCCTTAACAGCAACCCAGAAATCACCCCCTGCCGCTGCCAGGGTGCCGACTCCGGGAGTGACGAGGAGCCCACTTGGTGGACGGAGGCGTTGAGGAATTTCTTTGGCTGGTAGTGACCAGCTTTATATACCTCTGAAACTGCAGAGTTTGTCATGAGGCTTAGGGTGGCGGTTAGGCTTAGAGTTTGGGGTCGGTAGTGCTGGGGTCAGCTTCTTCCTAGGTGGCCTGCAGGGTTTCTAAGTGCTAACCGGGGATTAAATCGAGATGGACACAAGTGCATATTCGCAATGATGAGCGGCGTCCTCATGAAGCAAATCACGGGTCACTTTCTCAGAGCACAAAATATGGGGCGGGGGGTCAGGACTTACTTGTACCTTACTTGTACGACTGTAGAGAGCTGAGGGGTTCAGGGCCTTAGTCTTTTAGCGATTAACGCATCACATAGCGCGGAGGTACCTGTGTGAGTAGGGCTTTGCATGGAGGTAAACCAGATCTGACCGTTGCGAGCAATGTGGTAGTTTTTCTGATAGAACTGTTCTGCTCCTATCAGAAGCCATGCCTTTTACCCTCAACTCAACTCTCGGCCCGAAGCCCTGGATCCTAAGCCCTAAGCCGAAGCCCAGAGCCCTCGAACGCGGTCTTGCCACCCAGAATCTCCTCATTTGCTTCTGTGTCATCAGAAGCAAAGTTTCACTTACTGCCTTGCAAGCCCAAAGCGCTTCTCCTTCCGGCTTCAGGGAATAGGGTCTTGTCACCTAGAGGGTAGAGTAGGCACTCCACAGACCCTGAAGGCAGAAGGGACCCAAACAATTTATCTTTCTAAGGTGAACCCACTGGAATCCGTGCATGGGCCCATACACGCCCTTTTGCACAACAAAAGTCCTGTTTTGTCCTTGCTGCTAGGTAGATATCTTAAGGAAGGAGGGTAGTGTTGGGCTTGCACAGTGGCGGCCGGGGGCTTTGGTCATGAGCCAAGGGCCAGCTTGCTTGTGTTCACAGCAGAAAAAGATTCAGAATTTTACTGTTGCTTGCCAAAAACATGGACCACCTTTTGGTGTCCTTGGAACAGGGATTCTCGTTTTTTGGGAGTACCAGGTGAAACTCATTTTGAGGGGACGTACTTCTTATTGTCCCAGTCTTGGGTATCAGGCCTTTTGATCTGGATGTACAAGCTCAGGCTCAGAATGCAATATACAGGGTTCGTGCCCAAAGCGTCCAAGCATGAAGGTGGGAACTCCTCAAGCCCAGGCAGCCCTGAGAGCTTCCCAAAAAAGCAGCCAACCTTGAGAAAGGCTTTGTGCTTGCTTGAAGAATTCCAGAAAAGACACCTTGACAAATCAGCACCTTGAGAACTCAGTAATCCAGTTTCCTTGAACACCCAAAAGAGCGAATATCCATGAATGCATCTGGCCTGCAGTTCAAGACTGAGCATTTCTCAGCATACTAGGGTCAACGATCCGCCCTGAGGGTTTATGGTTTCAATCGTTCAGGCGTTTACATTAAAGTTGTAGAGTTTGGCGCAATCTGTGAGTTAGGACAACACGTCGTAGGGCTTGCAGTCGTGACCCTAGTCAGAAAATGTTTATCTGCATCTCCGCAATGCATGGTTAATGGCCAACAGCAATCCGGGGACATGCAGAACCAACAGTCTCCAAACTCACTCCTTCCTCCAAAAGGTACGCCCCAATGACGCGACGCGCGCTAAGAGTCCTGAAGAAGCTGCAGAAACCCTAAACCCTGAACCCTAAACCCTATATACCCCTATCTTGTACCGTAAAGCCTATATACCCCCAAATATCCCTAGCTGCATGTCCCCCAGCTTTGATCAGCGCTGTACTGATCCGCTTGTTCATAGCCCGGCTGCGCGCCAGGTGCCCACCTCGCTAGAAGATGGTAGGGGCAACATGAGTAGTATTTTCCCATTAGCCCCTAGATAGGGTTATATAAGGATAATGGAAAAGAACATGGAAGCTACTATTTAGGTTTAGGGGTTTCAGGGAGTAGTATTTTATTTGGGGATACTATGGTACCCCATAATATAGGGTTTAGGGCCCTATAATGGAGAATCAAATGGAAAAGAACATGGAAAATGAAATGGAAACTGGGATTGTATAGGGGTTACTTGTGTAGTATTTTATTTGGGGATACTATGGTAACTACTTTAGAGTAAGATTATTTCCTCCTTTTGGGGTATAGTATTTTGTATGAGGTATATAATCTTACTGGGTGTAACCACCAAAAAACGCTACTCACATGAGCTGTAGTCTAAACTCCTTAAAGGGGGATTATTTTGGGGGACTATGATAGGGTATATCCGCTATAATCCAAACTCCTCAAAGGAGTTATATATAGGGGGTTCTATAGGGGAGTATTATAGGGCCTATTCAGGTGGATGCTAGGAGTTTAGACTATAGCTCTCATGCCAGCGATCCGTCTCAACTTTCAGGTTGTTTGCTTCAAGTAACCTTCGCCCTAAATCATTGCTGCGGCTGTGGGAAGGGCCCTTGTAAACCTTTCCCCCCATGACCCGCTAGGAGACCCGAAGACGGGATGTCCCCACAGTGGAGTGACTACCAACAAGAACCTGGCGTGTGGCGGAAAGCAGTGCATGATAGTACTCAGAATTACTCTGATAGCTTTTGCGCCTTCGGGCATGGAATGCAGTTGCCCCCTGCTGGCTGCTGTATGTATTCGGCTCCTGTTTCGAACCGAGGACCTCAAGAAGTGAAGCCTCCCAAAAACCCAATGCCCCAACCCTAATCTGGAACCTCAGGCTTTCCCCAAATCGTCAACCCTAGTCCTAAGCCTGCGACTGCTTTGGAATTTGGCGTACGTGAGCATTTTCTTTCCTGGCCATGGGACTGCCTGTCCCTGCAGTGCAAAACCTGCAGCATCCCTAAACGCAGTGAGAAACTTCGAGCACTGTGTATGGAATTTGTTACAAGCCCTACATGACTCATGGTTTGCTCTGCCAAATCTCGTGCTAAGAACACCAAAGATGCTTGCAAGAGGTGTGCGTGCCCAGGATCCTTGCAAGCTTATGCTTAATGAGGCATTCCACTAGCCCTCCTGCTACCTCTCGTGGTCAGTGAATTGCTCCAGCCAGATGGGTTTCAGCTGGAATTGGGACGCCTGTCTTGTTTTCAGACTGCGCCGGGAAAGCACCTACACACCCCGAATCACTCCATTTGCAGTGTTGTGACTTGCAGCTGCGTGTGTCAGGGCTTGGATTCAACGTTTTTCGCGCAGAGTTATTATACTAGTTTCCATTTTATTTCCGTTCTCCTCTATGTAACCCCAATATCACCTTAATATATATATATACATCCTATGATCGTAGTTTCCATTTTCTTTCCATTATCCCAATATAACCCCAATATATACCCTATAAGCCCTTAAGACCAGCCTTCCCGCGCGGCCTTTCCGGCGACCATGGCAAGATTTGCAAGTTCGACCCTGGAGCTGTTGACACGGCAACCCCCAGAGCCTTGCATACAAGCCCTGGTCATATAGTAGTATAGTAGTATAATATCAGTAATAAAGTAATATAGTACTATAGTAATATAGTAATATAGAGTCGTAACTGGGTCCTAGGCCCTTAATCCTGAGCCTCAGATTCTGTAGCAATCCTTTATACCTCGCTGGCATGTGGTCAATCAATTTGAGGTGGCAAGTCTTGCACAATCTCTTTTTCTGACTCAAGTAACATGCCCTGGTGCGTTCCCCCAGCTTGGCCTTTGTCATCAAATCTGAACCTTCTTACAGACCATGACTTTTCTGAGGGAAGCGTTCAAATTATGGCTCGTTGAGTCGTTGAGACAGCTGCAGCATTCTTGCTGTTGTTATTCTTTTTCGGTGATTGATAACCTTCGTGAAAGTTTTCCGAAATATGGGGACTCAATACTGACCCCAAAATACTTTAATCCTTTTTATGGGGACCCCCAGAATGGTACTAATTTTGGGAACTTTCCTCATCATCATCGTCATCATTGCCTCTTCGGGGTCCAACTCGCTCGAAATTCAGCCACCTCGATCGGCTGGCTTAGACGCTCGTAGTAGCAAAAAGCTGCGTTATTCAGGCAGTCACTTAGGAACAGGCCTTGGGTTTGGGTGGTGACGGATCTACGATAGGGGGTTTTGGGGTCAGAAGCGATTGAGGAATGGATTGGGGATGGAGATAAGGGCTAGTATCTTGAGGTTCACGTGTGTTCTGGACTCAGCAGAGATTTCTGAAAGTGATGTTTCTATTTTTTTTGGGGCTTCGGATTGCTGTACGTAGGACTATGCGGGCATGTGTGCTGGGAGCACTGAATGGGCTTTGACCCTGGTAGCTAGTACCGCTTGACTTCCGCGTGCCTCTCTCAAACACCTTATCAGAAATTTTCGCGTGCCAAACAATCTCATGACCTGGCATGGCGTAGCAAATCCGTTGCTTGTCTAGGTTCGGGCCTTTATCCGGCAAGATGCTCGGCCAGGAAACCCTGTACGAAAGGTCTTAACTCCCATTCACAAGATTCGTACGAAAACAAATTATGCTCCCAACCTTGGTTTCTGCAGTGAAGTGTGTTGGGACGGCGTAGAAACGGCGGCATTTTCAGAAGACAAGTTGCAATTTAGCCTCTGCGTGCGACCCACCAAAGCCTAAAAAAGATGTGGGTGTCTTGAATCTTTTTGATGGAGCTTTTCCAACTCGTGCGCACCGAGTCCTAAGCCTTCAATGGAAGACCCCAAAGCCTAGATTCGAACCTTGTAGCACAGACCTTAAACTCCAACTCGTATTTTCTCTAAATAGGGGGACCCCTCATATGGGTGGTTGTCAAAATTATGGTCCCTTTTTGGATCCCTATTATCATACGGCACCTAATATTGAGGGTACCCAAAAAGGGACCATAATTTTGACAACCACCCATAGACCCCAAAATGGAAATAGTCCCAATTATAGGGACACCAGCAAAGTACCACTAACTTCTGGGAAGCCCCTAAATCCCGGGCTCCCAGCCCGAGCTTAAGCCTTGTGAGCTGCGAGGCCATCGTCCTGTCGCGCGCCCTGAGGCTTCTGGGATAAGAGGAATTCAGGGCTCAACTGGCTCCTGCATAGCAACTGACTTGCTGGTTTTTAGTAGGGAATAAGGGCATAAATTATATAGGGACTATTTAGGGGCTATATTCCCTTATTTCCTGCTAAGAATCAGTAAGCTGAAATGGGAAAGGGTTGCAATGCTTATTGGTACAGACCCTTGCTTATGGCCAAAGGGCTTACGGACGGATTTTCTCAATACCCCTTGAGAGGTCAATGCCAAGCCACCGCATCACAGGGACTTCCGCGTACTAGCAACGCGCGCAAGTCAAGATGCCAAGGGTTCTACCAGCTCCCCACGAATTTGAACCATAACCCACAACGTACGCATTCTGCTCCTCCGGACCGGCTTTTGGCCCTATGTAGTTCCCCCAAACAAGACAAGGAAAACGTTGTAATAGTTTTTTGGGACAGAGTTTTTGGAGGATGTGGGCAACCTGCTTTGAACAGCAATGTAAGGTTGGAGTTTGGGGTTCAACATCCTGCTTTTGCACCTTAAGCCTCGCACCTTATCACCTCTGAGTTTCTCAAAACACTCCCTATAGAATCCCTAAAGCGGACTCCCATAAGCTCTAGATACTTCTTATATATCCTTTGGGGTTTCCAGGGGCCCCTGTTTTTGAGAAACATCCCATCTGACCACTCGGGGGTAGCAGGCGGCACCTTTTGCTGCCGTCGCGGCACCCAGGCGAGCCTGGTTTTTTGTAGATTCCCAGACCACTGGAGGAGCTACTTGTGCTTTGGGATTATAATGAAAAAGAAAATGGAAGCTACTATGGTATATTGGGGTTATATAGGGATACTGGAAAAGAAAATGGAAGCTACTACAGTATATTGGGATTATATAGGGATAATGGAAAAGAAAATGGAAACTACTATAGTATATTGGGGTTATGTTGGGATAATGGAAAGTTAAATGGAAGCTACTACTTAGGGTTTAGGTCTAGGTTTGTAATCCTCACTTTCCTCAGAGCAACCCCGCAGTTCTATAACCTAAGTTCAACCTAAGCTTACGTCTCTCGTGTCACAGGGGATGTCCTGAGGAGCTTGGAGGGTCCAAAGGTTTACCAAGTCCTGTGATGCCGTTGTGATGAGCGTGGGCTGATGCAGAAATCATCTTAAGAAGGGTTCTAGCGCCAACCATAGCCAGTTGCTAATTCACATGGGTCTCCAAGTTGGGGTTGGGAGTTCGGCCGAAGGGTATGTGCCTGAACCCTGAAACCATTAGGTGCAGAAGTCCTGTTGCTAGAGAACACGGGATCCACAGTTAGGAGGGCCAAGAGATTTAAGAATTAGCACGTCTTCCAATAATGCACTTGCAGTCAGCACCTCGTTGCCTTTGGGCATTTCAGGGTGCGCCAGGCTTCACGAAGAGATAGATGTTTGTTGTTGGAAATGCTGTTTATGCATTTTGCACCCCGCGAACTTCAAGATCTCTAGCTGGTTTAGTTTCATGGTTTCTACTGCTCAAGGGCTTCTACATTGCGTAGACAGACGCAAGTGTTGCCTTCCATTGTGCATGCAGTCTGCTTTTTTTGGAGTGGCTGAACGTAGCTTTGGGAATCTGTTGAACCATGTGCCCTGAAGCTTACACCGAAACCTGTGCCCCAGTAAGACATGAGGGAATGGAAGTAGGGAGTTTTCCAGATTATATCCAGACTACTATAGGGATTCCTATTAACCGTCAGCAGGAAGATTGGGACCTAAACATCCTTTGCCCTTGAACCATGTCGCGTTTGGAGTGTGCCTCCACGTTGGTCCCTGTTTGGAGGTTCCTAGGTATTCCCAGAACTGATGGTTTTGCGGGCCATGAAGAGACCGCAGTCTTGGCACATGACCCCACAATAAAAACCCTGTGCATTTGCTAAGAGCTATCAGAAAGCATTGAATCGAATACACAGAAGCAGGCCTGCGTGGACGCCGGTCTTGACTGCGGCAATCATCCAAACAAGGCAAACCCACGAGTCCCAAACCTCAAATCACATGTGCCTTCCGTCCTGGCAGCCATTTCTGTCTCCTTCTCCCCACAACTCATGGTGGGTGGCACTAAAGGAACATTGATGGGGGTTCCGGAAAACTGCCTTGATTTTTGCATGAATAGAATCCCCAAGAGCAGCTAAGACCGTAAACGCTTCATGGGGTTTCATACTCGCTTGTAGTTTACGGGTTTAGGGGTTATACGGAATTCTACGCACTTCCCCAAGCACGTCATGAAAACTGCAAAGGAACCCCGGCAAGGTCAATTATGCTTGCACGCCCTTCCAGCTTGGGATGCCCTCATCCTTGTGTATTCATTCAACTGTGTCATTGTCGGATATAGAGTTTGAATTCTTTAGTTGTATGTATTCTAGAAAGTCATGATTTGCAATCATCTCCCAAAAGGAACCAGGTAACCCCGCAACCCCTACAGCCCCCCCCCCCTTAACGGCACCCTGAAGTCGCTGAGACCCCCAATGTCTTGGAAGCCATGGAAGCTGCTAGTTTGGTGGAGTTGCCAGAGCTTGAGCCTTCCATTGTGGAGGAGGCCATGGTTGGGGTGTAAGGGTTATGGGGTTAGGGGTTTGGGGGTTTATGGGTCAGGGATTAATTTTTGGGTTTGGGGTTTAGGGGTTTGGGGTTTGGGGGTTTAGGGTTTAGGGGTAAGGGGTTAGGGTTTAATTTCGGGTTTAGGGGTTTAGAGGTTTAGGGCCAGGGTTTAATTTAGGGTTTAGGGTTTATGGGTTGAGGGTTTAGGGGTTTAGGGTTTAGGGGTTTAGGGGTTGAGGGGTTAGGGTTGTGGGCCTGCCAAAAGCGGATGGGTCTGGGTAGCTGTTCAGAGTCAGACGTATGGAGATGCTCAAGGATTTTGGGTTGTGGTTTCAGGGGCTGACGAGTTCAGTTACAAGGTTCATGGATTTAGGTCTAGGGGTTTATTGTTTTGGGTCATACATGCGACTTTGAGGGGCCCTTAGATGGCTTGATTTCTTGGTGTTTTTTTTAATGTATCAAAATTGGAAATGTATTTGCGAATCCTCCTTAAGCTCTAGACTTTAGACCTTCCAACATGGCCTCCCCCACCACTAAAGACTGCACAACAAGCAGGTGCAGCAGACCTGGGCAGCCTTGCAACGCAGGCCCCAAGTTGGGAAGGACTTTCTTCGAATGCTGTCTGAGGCCCGGGGGGAGGAGGAGGGAACAGGGATGAGGTTCATGATTTAACTTTCAAGAAGGGTTTCCGGAATTGGCCGATTTCCGGCTTATGTCCGTGCATAGGTCAAATCAAATTTTGCTAAGAGGGACCTTTAGAGCCCCTCTCCCCGCAAGCAAGTCCCTCAGATAAGTGCAGGCCTTGCCCGACACGCGCCACATGTTCAAGAGATCTACCACAGTCGCCTGCCGCAGCTGGAGGTTCAGGTGAGAAGGACTTTGAGCACTTAGAAATTATGATGGTCCTTTGCATCATCCCTATGACTATGAAAGAGGGACCCGCAGTTTCGAGAAGCTTTTGCTATGAGGCATCTTGTCGAGATACGTTCATGTCTGAGTTGTGCAGTGCCTTTTCAGGTCCAAGGCTCTTGATGTCAGTGCCCAGTCTGGCCTGCCTTTCTCCATTCCTCAGGACGCGCAACTACCTCTCCGAGTTTGCCTATGCATTCTTAAATCATGAAGCCCTTGGCTCCAAACCTAAACTGAACACGATCAACTTTGCCCATGTACTGAGGTCTGGCAGATTCTGAGCGACCTTGTCACCGGCCTGGACAATCCAGACGCCCTGCGGTCCCGCATTGAGCACCTAGACCGTTGTTAAAAAGAGATTTTTGATTTCGACGAAAAGTCCAATGAGGAAGGCCTCTGACCTGTTTAAGCACCGCCGCATTGAGTTCATCATTTTCACCTTGGGGGTATTGCCCCTGCTGTAACTGATGCAGATCAGAAACAACATCCGTCTCATTCGATCTCCAATTCCTAGATTTTGTTGCTTCCAGTTGGGTTTGGTTCATGAATAAAGGGCTTTCAGGTTTCAAGGAGTGACTGAGGTATGTTGCCCTGCGGCATATGGGCCTGATGATCGAAGCCGCTGACATCGAGGCCTTCAAGACTCTCCTAGTGGACACCTGCTGTAGCAAGCTCCTGGGAGGCAGTGTGCTCGCTGGACATTAGTAGGGAAGAAGGAAATATATTACATAGGGATTGTATTATCTTAGTCCCTTGGGTAACCACCAGAAAGTTGAGGGGCTTGGGGGATGGCTATGAACTGTCCCTTCCTCTCGACATGTGTGGTATGGGTTTGAATTGGAGTTGACTTGCCGTGCCGACGATGTGACGACTTTTCATTCCTGCTCAGCAGCATAGCCTTTTGATGTCTGAAGAGCATCTACAAACTCTGCCTGTGCGACAGACCTTTAATGTATCCCAGCATCATAATCTGAGTTTCCACTTTGAAGGTCATACCAAGGTATTCTAGAGTTTCCACGCATGATTTGACATCGCTCACCCCAAGTTTTTTCAAAGGCTCTCTCCGGCAATGACAGACAAACTTGGTCGCAGGAAGTCGGTATTCAATTCCTGGGTGAGCGATGGCTTGTATCAAACCTGTGTTAGATGTGCTCTTCAGGGTGAGCGTCGAGTGAGGCTGGCGTATCACGTCTGTTCAGGATTTTTTTGTAGATTGTTTTTCGCCGCTCCGTCACATTCCTGCTTTGCCACTCGTTGTACCAGTCGCTCGAAGCATAATCCTTACATTCGACATCTAAACGCTTCTCCCGTTTCCTCTACCCTACGGTGGATACGAAAAACCCCACATGACCCGAGGTACCTTACACCTTGGGAATTACGGTGCTAGAGTTTACTGAGGTGATGCAGGGTTTTCAGTATCAATAGTATCAACAGAATCAATCCCTAGGTAACGCACAAAGTCCGTATCGCATCACTACAGAACACATCCCCTTTAGTCTTTTGAAGCCTTCTTCCGCGCCTAGAGCCCTGAACCCAACTAGCAATGGGCTTTTAAGTAACACCCAGCCCCCCAAAATTAAGACCTTATGTCACATGGTCATAGGATCGTCACAGGGCCCTTGTTTTTACGCATGTCCTTGGGAAGTATTTTGAATTAGTCATTAAGCATTGTAATCCGTCTATATTCCCCTTCAAGTCGTAAGAAACAAGTTTTGATAGGGCCCCTAAGGCTATCTGAGTTTTGGCCCAATCGAGCCTCAGTCCTTCAACAACTAACGACTACACCCTAAACCCTAGACCCTTAACCCGAAATCCTAAACCCTTAACCCCAAACCCTAAACCAAATGGTAGTTTCCATTTTTTTCCATTATCCTTATATAACCCCTCAAATATCCCCATAATATCCCCAATATACCCCCCCAATATACTCCCCAATATAGCCTCAATATGCCCCCAAACCCTAAACCCTAAACCCTAAACCCTAAAGCCCCCCTATCATCAACCCTGGAACCGAACTCAGGCTGGCAGGAAGCATCCCGGAGTCGTTCCAGGCCTTGTCTTGAGCTCGCTTACCGTGGTCTAGGATCCGGGGCTTCAGGTTAAGGGTTTACGGTTTAGGGTTTAAGGTTTAGGTTAAAATGATTTAGGGTTTAAGGTTTAGGTTAAAATTGTTTAGGGTTTAAGGTCTAGGGTTTATGGTTTAGGGTTTAAGGTTTAGGGTTCAAGGTGTAGGGTTTAGGGTTTAGGGTTTAAGGTTTAGGGTTCAAGGTTTGGGGTTTAAGAGTTAGGGTTTCTGGTTCAGGGTTTACGGCTTGGGGTTTAAGGCGTAGGGTTTATGGTTTAGGGTTCAAGGTTTAGGGTTTAAGGCTTGGGGTTTAAGGTTTGGGGTTTAAGCTTTGGGGTATATGGTAGGGTTTTTGGTTTAGGGTTTACAGCTTAGGGTTTAAGGTTTAGGGTGCTTTGTTGGGAAGGGTGGCTTTAGGGATTTAAGCTGGTTTTGGTGCTGTACAGTTAACGGTTGAGAGCTCCTCGGGGTCTTAGAGGTTTAGGGATTTAAGGTTACAGGGCTTCATGGGTACAGGGCTTCGTGGGTAGAAGTAATTTCGTTTCTTGGCAATACAGGGGTAGATACGGTGATGGGTAGTCTTAAGTCTGGTTTGTAGCTCTTGGCATATTCGAGGCCGAAGCCCCAACTAATCACCTTCCCTTGATACTGACCAACCCCGCTTGCAAAAGATATTTGCGAATGGTACAATTACTGTACTATATTGGGAGTTATCATGAGGGGGAGGGCATTCGACTTTTCGTTCCAGAGTGCTTTGAGCCCTGAGGCTTTCGCGTTTTAGGGTTCGCAAGGCGCATATCAACACCACAGTAGCCTTCCTTAAAGTGTTTACAAGGACTTGTGTAGGCCTTCATACGGGCTGACTCTTGGCCATGGTTGAGCTAGCGGCAAGTTTTTTTGCTGGGCCATGCTGGGCCCATATAAGATGAATAGGCCACAGAGCCAAGCTCCCCTGCGTAGTTATTCTATAGTCTTGCTATCCAAAGACGAGGCCGGCTTACCATGAAACATGGGGTTTTCGCTTTTGTGGAATCCCCGTCTAAGGACCGCATCATATATGCCCCATTATGGTAGTTTCCCTTTTCTTCTCCATTGTCCCAATAGAACCCCAATATAACCCTAAAATATATACATAAATATATCCTATTATAGTAGTTTCCATTTTCTTTTCCATTATCCCAATACAGCCCTAATATCATTCCTAAACCCTAAAACCTTTTTAGTAGTTTCCATTTTCTTTTCCATTACCCCAATATAACCCCAATATAGCAGCCCTATGCAGTACATCAGTAGCATCACGCAGTATGGCATCGCGGAGCTCCTCGATGCGGTGGGTAAGGCCATGACGGCCACACGCCAACAGTACAGCAGGAAGGCCCCCGGGCAATTAGGGTTTACATTGGGGTTATAGTAGGATAATGGAAAAGAAATTGGAAACTACTGTAATCGGGCATATAGTGGGGAATCAGGTGCAAAGGAACCTGGAATATGAAATGGAAACTGGGTTTATGGTAGGGGTTTGTATTGGAATTGTGATAACAATGCGGAGGGGTTATGACTGTTTAGGGTGCGTTTGAGGATAACCTCGGGTTATGGGGGGTTTTGTATAGGATTTGGTCGTTTGTGATTAGAGAGTTAGAATTCAAGATGTGGGCTGTGTGGTATGTGGTTTAAGCTTGAGAGTGTAAGCATCAGTGTCAAGGGCGTGGACTACAGCAAGTATGCAGGACCTTGCTTGTGGCTCATTAAATGCAACATGTGGCCATTTCTTCATCATGCTTCAAGGACGTGATGCTCATGAAAGCGGCCGGTGTAGTTTGGCGTGTAGCAGTTGCTCTTTATCGAGATGCCATAAATGTGTGACCCGTTACAAGTTATACTAGAACACATAACTGCCTGCCTTAATAGCATTGTCCAAGCACCGCGTTACCGCCTAATTGTCCCCCACGGGCGTGAGTTCTTCGCCATGTTCAGTCTCCCCTTCACATTTCATCTAGTGGACCCTGACATGGCTGTGTCCAGAGCCTTACTCTGAACAGACTTGGCGATTGAGGAGCGCTGGCAATCAGTGGGATGGGGTAGTTAAAAGCATGCTGAGGAACATGTTTGTCCTTGCTCAGGCTCTTGAGCTCCAACAAGAAATCCAAATCGTGGGCCCACCCTAGACTTGACTGCTGTTAAGGAACTTAGATCAAGTTACCATAATGGGTACATATAGTACTTAACAGGGTTTCCCAAATAGAGTACTTAAGCTAAGTTCCTTCATAGCAACCTAGTAGAAAGCCAGGTCCGTGTGCTGACAACAAGCTGGATGGCTCTGGGTGTGAAGCCGCAGCAGGAAGAAGCCGCCCCAGGCGGCCAGCTCCCAAGCGTAAGGGGGGCATGAGGGTTTGGGTTTAGGGATTGTACTTGGCAGTGGTAGTGGTGGTAATGGTAACAGCAAAGCTGACAGCAATCAAAGGGAACCCTAAACCCTAAACCCTTTTTTTTTCAAGGTTGCACGGCTTCAGGCGGCTACCCTGGGGTGCTATACTTATTAGTAGGGAGGCAGGGAATAGCATCCCTCCAAAATCCCCTATTTTGGGAAACTACCATACAGTCCTTTATTCCCTGCTATTCCCCAGTACTTATAACCATGGTCCCAAGCAGGACGGCATTGATCGCAATACCCCCGAAAAACGAGCAGAAGGCGCCATAACTGCTGTCGTCGCCACTCCGCACGTCTTGCCAGTAGATCTTCCTAGACCCTAAACCCTATAGTAATTTCAATTTTCTTTTCCATTCTACCTACTGTACCAAATAGATCTTCCGACAACAGCCTAGGCAAGCAGGCGATGGAGTCCGCAGAATTTACCTACGAGCAGGATGCCGAAAAGAGCGAAAAAGTGGAGGCTGAGAAAGTGGAGAAGGACTTTGTTTAGGGCTTCATGGCTTAGGGTTTAAGGTTTAGGGGTTTGGCGTTTAGAGGGTAAGTTCGAGCCCTATGGTTATGGACCAATTTCACTGGCGGGAAAAGAGGTCAGCCAACAGGGCATACTGTCTGCGGTTTTCAGCTGGCTAAGTGCAGCTGAAGTTACAGGGCACCACTAAGTAGCCCCCAGGACACTTAACTCCATTACTCTAAACCCTAAACCCTAAATCCTGAAGAACTGTTGGCCAGTCCTAGAGTTCAATCGGAAAGCCAAAGCTCCTACAAATGTGAAACCCAGGACATCGAGAAGGCCGAGCACACGAAGAAGCCCGGGCAAGATTCCTCCCAGGTTCCTGC